TTAGCGTGTCAAGCTACCGTCCTGCACTGTCGCGGTTCGAATCCCGCTGAGGGTGTTGATAAGACCAATTGATCCAAGGTCGAAACTGCAGTCCACTGGTGTCCGGATGAGAACCACTTTTGGGAAAGCAAGGCTATGTGAAATTCAATGGAAAACGTCAGCACAACTCATATCATTGTGGGAAAATTCTACTATCAGTCCTTCATCACCTTACACGAAATAGGGTGAATACATCTCATTAAAACATACTAACCTAGAAAATAGTTATCCTTTCGGCTAAATTGAAATTAATATAAGGAATCCATTTCCGACGCGGACTTTCCAGTCAAAGGTAAACAAACGGAGACCTTTTCTCACGTCCACAGTTTGCTGTCAGGCCTTCTTTCTAAAAAGATAGGCAAACTAACGAGAAACTTTCAAACTTTCTTCGAGTATGTCATCTTTTGGCAGAAATGTGACCCATTATGGAGATCCAGCTGCTGCAAGACTGTGTTTCTGTTGGTGAGACTAGTGGACCTAGTCGCCAAAGAGTATCGGAACACAAAAATGCTCGTAAAGGCAACTGGAATCAACGGCCGGAAGTGGCCGAACACGGAAGCCAGAGACAGGACATGAAATAGAATGGTCTCGAACAAGATACGAAGAGAAAGTTGGTTTTGATGAATCTCCTGAAATAACATTGCTAGGGAAACCATCATTTTTTGAATGAAAGTGTATGAAGAAGAGATTCGTTGGTCGATCTCACCAGATGAGGACAGATGAAACTCGTTGTACTACAGCCGCTCGGCTTTTATATGATATTCATGTTGACGTAGTCCACGAGACTTCTTCCTTCGTTTCGGGTAAAAACGTGCTGAGCTTTCGTCCATCATTCGATGGACATCATCAGAGCTGGGTGCCATTCTTGTAAAAGTCTCACATTAACACTAAAACAAAACACTATTCGGCTCTATCTTACTTCTTATATAGACTCAATCAACCCAAAAAATTAAAAATTAAAAACCTAGTTAGATCGATATAGAGTGGTTTGGTTAATCTTCTTTCATACTGATCCTGTTCTTTTTGCTCGATTGTATGAGTATGTATATTTGTGCGTATTAGCGTATGTATGCCAAACGATTCTTAATTTCACTAACATTCGTCCAAAATGTTAGAC